AAAAGATGTGAAAGATAAACTCCTTTGAAGTTGAAAACCCTAGCTCCTAAAGCCAGAAAATGTCTTGGGAATCTTTGCAACTTTGACCAACCTTCTTGCACAAATACTTTGTTATGTGATTACAAGTTGTTGAGGATGAGGAGGAGAAACTATTGAAACCAAAACAACTTCCATATCTTGAGAATTTAAGGAGACATGCACTTGTGATAAATGGAAACAAAGACTTATCCATTTGAGTCAAACTTCTTCAATCAACCCTTGTACTTTTGAACTAATTTTGACAATCTTGAGGCATGATGAATCATAAATAATTTCTCATGATATTAATTCAAAACATCTTTAATGATTATGGTTGAATATCAATGAAGCTTTGTTGAGGAAGGCATGAAAATGAACTCTTGAATCCATAGATCAATCTTGATGGGAATGTATTGTGCTTTTACCTACAACATCAACAATTGAGGAAAACACTCATTGTATTTATTAGTTAAAGAATAATCAATACAAAACATGGATAATCACAAAATACAAGTCAAGGTGCTTGGTGATTCCTCCTAGAGCAAAAGCTAAAGATAGGGAGAAAAACCAAACCCTAATGTGATATTGTTGTGATTGAATTGATAGGATATGATGAAGGGATCTTAGGGGAAAAAATTGGGTTACAACAACCAATACATCGCGAATAACTGAATATGTTTTGGTCAAGGTGAAAAAGTATGTATTACCAATGGATTTTGTTGTGTTGGATATTGAAGAGGATTATGACGCACCTTTGATTCTAGGCATACCATTCATGAAAACCTGCAAGAATGAGAATATATATTGATGATGGATTAATGAAGTTTGTGTTCAAGATGAAGAAGTGTGTTTTAATATTTTTTAAAGCCATGAAACACTAAAAAGACAAAGGAGATTGCTTTAGTATGAATTCCACTGATAAAGCCATCATGGATGTGCAAAAACAAGTGAACTTATCCACTCCTTTATACAAATATTTAATTGATGCACTTAAAGTTCTTAATGAAGATGAAGAAAAAGAGATTAAAGAATGCTTGAGAGAACTTGAGGCATTAGAAGAAATTCATTCTCTTGAAGCCAAAGTTAAAAAATTGAAAGATGAACCAATGAAAGAAGACTCTAAACTTGGATTAAAGATGCTACCTTCACACTTGAAGTTTGTTTTTCTTGAATAAGGTGGTAACAAACCCGTCAGTATCAGTAGTTCATTGTGTGACAAGAATGAAAAATTTTGATTCTAGTTTTTAAGAAAAATCAAAAGGCAATAGGTTCGGTGCTATCTGATCTGAAAGGAATAAGTCCAACCTATTGTATGCATAAGATCATGATGGAAGAAGACTACAAGCCGGTAGCTCAATTACAACTTCGTTTGAATCCTATCATGAAAGAGGTGGAAAGGAAGGAAGTGGTGAAGTTATTGAAGGCAACCATGACTTATCCTATTTTATACAGTGTTTGGGTGAGTCCAGTTCATGTGGGGGACAATAAAGGAGAAATGACAGGGATTACTAATGACAAGAATGAGTTGATTCCAACAAGAACTGTGACGGGATAGAGAATGTGCATAGATTACCTGAGGCTTAACCATGCTCCAGAAAAGATCATTTCCTTTACTATTTATGGATCAAATTATTGAAAGATTGTCAGGTCAAGAATTTTATTATTTCTTGGATGGTTATTTAGGATACAATCAGATTACCGTCAACCCAGAAGATCATGAGAAGACGACTTTTACATGTCCTTTTGGTATTTTTACTTATAGAAGAAGGCCTTTTAGGTTATGAAATGCATCGGAAAATTTCCAACGATGCATGCAAGCCATCTTTTATGATCTAGTTGAGAAATGCACTGAAGTCTCCATGGATGACTTCTCTGTATTTGGTCCTTCATTTGATTTATGTTTGAAAATTTGGGCATCATGCTGAAGCAGAGCGTCGAAACTAATATGGTTCTAAATTGGGAAAATGCAATTTTATGGTCGCCGAAGGCATAATACTTGGCCATAAGAATATTTTCCAAAGCCATTGAAGTTGATAAAGCAATTTTTTAAGTGATTGAAAAGCTTCCACCGTCGTTGAATGTGAAAGGAATCAAAAGCTTATTGGAACATGCAGGTTTTTATCGAAGATTCATCAAAGACTTCTAAAAAATTTCCAAATAGTATAGCAACCTACTTAACAAAGATACGTCTTTTGATTTTGATAATGCATGTTTAATTTCTTTTGAGGACTTAAAATAAAAGTTGATAACTGCAACCATAACCACTGCTCCTGAGTGGAAACTTGATTTTAAACTAACGGGTGACCTAAGTGATTATATGGTAGGTGCAGTTCTTGGACAAAGAAAGACAACAAAAAATTCATGCTACACACCATGCAAGAAAAGTCTTAAATGAGTCTCAAATTACTTGAGATGGATAAGTTAAGACTCCAAGCTTATGACTCCTACAAACTCTACAAGCAAAAGGTCAAGAAGTACCATGACAAGAAAATCCTCACCAAAGACTTCAAACTAGGACATGTGGTCTTATTGTTCAATTCTCGATTCAAAATGTTTCTGAGATAATTGAAGTCCAAATGGTCAGGGCCATTCCAATTCAAGGAAGTGAAGCATTATGGTGTAATTGTGCTAGAAGATCCAGTTTCTAAATAAATTTGAACTTACAATGATCAAAGATTAAAACTTTACCTTAGTGGTGAAATTAATCGGCTCATAACAACTGTTCCGCTTGCCGGTCCTTGAAGTCACTGAAAATCATTGAGCTAATTGACGTTAAACATGCGCTTGTTGGGAGACAAATCAATTTTGTAAGTGTTTAACAGCTTTGCATTTTGTAGTATATGTATTTGATGGTGAAAGTGGGTGAGAAAAAAATTAATTTTGGTGCAGTTTTGAGATTTTGGGCAGAGTTGTTGGCCTAAGTGCCTCGGGCTATGTAAGTTACGTTTTTTTCCAAGCCACATGCCCAATTTCACCCAGGCTCAACTATCACTCATTTAACCCATTTGGAAATGGTTTAATTCATAAAATCAATTTTCCCCATCTTTTCCTTCATTCTATCTCATACGCAAACCCTAGCCTCCAAAGTTCTCAAAGTACCAAACCTTTCCCTTTGCAACTTCCTGCCAATCTCTTATACATTTTTCACTAATTGTATCAATCATCAGGTAAGTTTTCATTGTTTATGTAATTTATCAATATGTGTTGAGGCAACTAGGAAAATGAACAATGAAGTCACCGTCGAATGTTATTTATCCCACATAAGGGAAATTAAAAAAACAAGTAAACCTGAGAGAATACAAGGTATTGCGACCAAGAGAATGGTATGGAAGTCGATTACGCAAGAGAAAGATATTAGCACCCCTTACATCCATGGTACTCCACGGGATCCACTCTTGTTGCTCTAATCAAAGGGTGTGTTTAAAATATGCCAAAGATTACAAGCTAAGGGAAATACATGAGAAAATCATACAGGGAAAACAAAGGTTTTAAATAGTTGTGCTCGCTTAGGCCATGCAGCCTAATGCCTATGTATCCTTTTTAAAGAATCAGAACACCGTAATTCGGCTCAAAAGTTTCTATTTGTTTTATGTTTTTTAATCGAACAATGTTAAATTTTACATTCTACCGCAGCTCAATCTTTGGAGACTCATGCATCTATCATAGAAAGGATCTAACATGTTCTTACTTGAAAAGGTTTTCTTGAAATAAAAATCCCGAAGGCGAAAAGTTTTGAATTGGTGTAATGTTTTTGTTCGGAAAATACCTCAGATGATCCTCTAAGGCCAGAGATATCTGAGTACTTCACCTATATTTATTAAAGTGTTTGAGATACGTGCAATACTAATGTCTATGACATGAGAGACTTTTATATGTTCGAGCCAGGTTCCTTGTATCAAAAGTACTCTACACAAGCTTAAGACTCGTAACGTATTTGCACACACCATATTTATCTGTCTTTTGAGTTTTCTAACAAGAAAAAATTTAGTCTTAAATGCAATACAAAAGAAAGAAAAATATAAGGGAGACTAAAGTCCTAATGTTATCATACAATGGTGGTCATAAAGTTAGGATACCGAGAATCCTACCTAAAGTTATCATGTTTGGTTTACAAACCTAAGGTTTATTCAATTTGTCTTAACCAAGACTGAATCGAGAATCCATTGGGAGCATGGCATCACAAGATAAACAATGTAACAACATCATGGAAATGAAAACAACCAAATGATAAACAACAAATGTAAAGGTATCAATCCAAAAATGAAACACAAATTACTAGTAAGACAACTACAAGTACATCCAGTATATCTCATACATCACACAACTCAATCCTTAGACCTATCAAGGTTTAGGATCAAAGATTACTTATCTAAGTAAATGATTACCTATCTAAGTAATAGTGATACCTAACACAACCTAAATCTATCTAGAGTTAATGTTTAATCTACCTTATCTAAGGTAAGAATTTCTTATCTAAGCAAGAGCGTTATCTAGCACTATCTAAGTCTATCTAGACTTGAAGTTTAAACTACCTTACCTAAGGTATGAAATGCTTATCTAAGCAAGGGTGCTATCTAGAACTACTTAAGTCTATATAGACTTGAGGTTTAAACTACCTTATCTAAGGTATGAATTGCTTATATAAGCAAGGGTGCTATCTAGCACTACTTAAGTCTATCTAAACTTAAGGTAAAAGGGTTACCTATCTAGGTAAAGGTGCAAACAAGATATCCTAAGCTTAACTAGACTTATGGTTGAAAGAACTACCTAACAAGGTATAGGTGCTAACAAGCTATAATCCTAACAAGGAACACCTAAATCTAACAAGATCTATGATAATCATCACCTAACAAGGTGGACATGATCTAGGGGTATCCCGTGGAGTACCATGGATGTAAGGGGTGCTAATATTTATTATCTAAAATTTTCAGATTTCTCATTATCATTATTGATTATTCAAGAAGAAATAAATAGGAATAACAATGTTAAAACACAGGCGTATAGAATACCAGCAAGGTTTCAGGTTGTGACCCTTCAAATGTTTTCAAAATCAACTCTCCTCTCTTTCTCTTCTTCGCTGACGGCTCAAACTGCTCAATCCTTCTTCTTCGATTAACAACCTCAGCACCACCGCTCACCTCGGTCTTCTACTTCCTTCAATAGCTACAATTCCATTGCGAATAACAGAAATTGATTGCTCCCTCCGTCTTTCTCTCGATTCCTCCTCTGATGCCGATATTCTTCTTCATCTCTTTGCTGCCGCTCTCTCCTCTTTTGTGGCTGCGAACGACGAACACAACAGCCGTCCGCTCAACTCCTCTGATTCATTTGTTTCAGATTTCATTGCAATTGGATCGCCGGAGGTGACGTTATGGATTCATAATGATGATTGAAGCTGTCACCACCGATTCAAAAGCAGGGATTCAAGAGGCTCGATGCGGTTTAGAGAGAAAGGGAGTCTTTTGAGTTTCTGAATTTTGGTGAGTTTTTCCTTCCGAAACTCTTTCTTGAATTTTCTGCGTATTCTCCTGAAATCTACGTTTTTGGTTTTGTAAGGGAGGTTACTAATGCGATGATGATTGAAGCTGTGTTGAGAAATCGTTCTTGCGGATTGTTGATGAAGACATAGAGATTTAAGATGAAGATGCCGAGAAGATTGATTTTGTGGTAATGATTCTTGCGGGAATTGAATAAAAATGATGAAGATTGAAGAAGGAAGAATATAGTTTAGACCATGGTATTGGAAGATGACAAAGGGCTTGAATCCTAAGTTTGGAGAGAGATTGAAGGCATAATTGTTTGGAGAAAAATTGAATGAAGCTTGAAGTTTTAGCATAGACTTAGGACTCAGTTCATGGCTTTAGAACTTGACTTTTAGCAAGATGAAGTATCTTAGAACTTTTTGTATAATTTTTCTCATGTGATGTTCTTGGTATAATTCTATTTTGGATGTAATGTAATGGTGTAATTGTATAATGGTGTGTTGACACTCAGATTTTTGACTCAGAATTGTAATGGCCTTGTGACCTTGTAATGAGCCAATGCGTGAATTGCTTTCTTCCAATATTTGAATCAAAATCATATTACTCCAATGATTCAAACTCCATGTTATTTTGCAAATTATTCTTCCAACGTGTTCAATTTGTACCAAAATAATCAATTGAATGATGAATGAACAACTTTAAATAAGCCTTGAGACTTGCATAAACCTTGAATGAGCTTTCAAATTAAACAGTGTTATCAAACCAATGACACAAGGAATGGATGAAGTTTGAATGATTATTCATCCTTTGGATTTTGGTGGACTTGGATGAATAAAATCAATGAAAAGCCTTGAACGACTTTTGTGTTCCCATTTCAATCCTCAATGAAACCTAAATTTAATCCCCAACTCAAGTTACCTCGTATTGCAATTAACAAACAATTGATAGGAATGATAATGACTTTATCACAAACAATCTACAACCTCAATTCTTGAACCACGTCTCGACACTTTGTGCAATTTTAATTTAGAAGTACAAAGACTTAATCTCATATTCGAGATCTTGATGAATTTTGGAGAAGATAAGCCCTGGTAAATTGATGGAAAAGAGTTCCTTCATAACATGTATGACCTTGATCCCATATCATAAAGAACCAAATGTTATGCATGTATGAAAGATGATAAAGCATAAGCTATTTTATTTATAAATAAGAGGACAAATTTTGGGGTACAACATGTGTAAGCATGTTCTAGTTAAGTTTTTGAATTTCAAGTATGAAATGGTAAAACTTTACCCTTTTCATGTTAATACATGATTGTGAGTAGTTTAATGTGCATTTGTGTTGAATTAGATTTTTGGCTAAGCGTAGATTGTGTACATATGTTGTTTAGATAAATTATAGGGGCAAAGTTGTCAGTGCAGAAGTTGCACATAAGCGCTTTTGGCGCTTAGCGAGAAAGATGGCGCTAAGTGCCATTCCTTTTGCCCAATTTTTCTGTTTTGGATTTCTGGTGGTACATTTATGTGTTTTGCTGCCATTAGGGATGCAGAAGGAGGTTTATGCTTACTTGTTTTTGATGTGGTTTGTGCTGGTTTTATTTGATTTTTCATGCATTGATTCTAAGAACACCATTGCTTCAAAGAAGCAAAATACTGTTGATAGTCAATCATCCAGACCCAAACCCAATGCCTAGAATGCTGACAAGTTTTTGGGGCCAGAGCAGGAAGAGAGGTATAGAGAGTTGTTGATCCAAAACATTTGGTCGAAGAGAACTTTCAACATTAATCTAGAGGGTGAATTTAGGGATTATTTGGAGATCATTGAAGATAGGAAGTGGAAAAAGCTGGACACTCCTCCAACCAACCTGAATTATGAGATAGTCTGGGAGTTTTATGCAAATTCCTTTCCTGTAGAAGATCAAACTTACTCGTTCATGACCATGGTAAGGGGCGGAAAATTTCGTTCAGTAGGGATGCCATCAACTCATACACTGGAAACCCTATCACATTGCAAGAAGGCGAGTTGTGTGAGCGTGGAAAGAGGTTGGAAATAGGAAATTAGAATATTAATTTGGTTACCCATTCTCTTGTGTTGTCAGGTGAGTCCTATGAAACTAATGGTCTCGGGGCTCCAAAGAACTTCCTTAGGAAGAAGATCAAAACCAAGGCTCAGATATTGATGACTTTGGTCCTTTATAACATATGACCTATAAGTTATACATCTTCCATTCCTTTGGATACTGCTTATCTGTTGTACTATATCTTGGATGGTAGGCAAGTTGATGTTGCTAGAGTCATTGTTAATGAAATGAAGATGATTGTTGAAAGTGATCATAGATTTGGAAACAAGACACCTTGCACTTTGGCTTTCCTAGGGCTGATTACGGGATTGTGCCAAAGGGCTCGTATCTCGCTTTCATCCATGGTTCATGAAACCATTGATAATGTTGTGAGTGACAGGTACATTTAGAGGCACTGTGTAACAAAGTTAAGCAGAAAAAAAGAACTTCATCTCCTTCTGGCTCAACAAACCAAAGTTATGATGATTGGGACCCTAAGCAAAAAGCTACATGCACATACTCTTGGGATATGCTTAAAGAGAATAAGAGAGCTTTCATGCTTATGCATGATTCCATGCATCAGTTACAGCTGCAGATTAGGGAGCCACAGACTGAGCACCAGCTTACAACTCAAGAGGAATTCTAGGAGCATGCTAATTGGCCTGATGACAAGCCATTTTATCCGGAGGAGGAAGTTGGTAATGAAGAAGCTGAAGAGGAAACAAGTGATGAAAGTGGATAAAAGGACGATATGAGTGATGATGATAATGCTTGATAGTATTTTGTGATATTTTAGTATTTTATGTTTTGTTTTCTTAGAACTTATTTTGTTGTTGTTGAACTTATTTTGTTTTAAGTTGTTTAACTTGTTTTGGTTTATTTTTGTCCACCCTTGTTAGGATGTGAAATTGTGAAGTGGCATTTCATGTCACCAAAACTCTTTGGGACACCATAACATTTTGTGGTTGTTTTTAATTAATCAAGTTGTTTAGTTTAATTTGTCTCAAGTAGAAAGTAGACAAGTTTAGTTTAAATTCAATTTTTTTTTAGTTTTAGCATATTTTTTGAGTTTGTTCCAAAAAGCTTGTCTTTGAATGACTTGTAGAAGCAATTAGTGATGAGTCCAAGTTTTATTGTGTCAACGTGAAAATGTTATGATAATGATAAAAGCTTGAAAATATGGTACAAAGTCGATGTACATGTTTATTGCTTTATAGACCATATCATAAATATGAAACTTATAATTGTACAAATATCATGTCATTCATTCTTTTTCACTACACGTTCATGATTGAATCATTTAAGATCAAAGCCTAAATGTGATAAAACTTTCCATTTTTTATTATATGCAAGAGACCAACAATTCTTTATTTTAACTCTGTTGATTTATGTTTAATATTGCATTTGTATTTAATTGAATGAAAATATGAAAATGGTCAAGGAAATTTTTATTTATTTTGAGCACAATCACTTGATCAAAAGTGACCTACCTTGTGAGTTAGTAAAAATTTGTTAACCCCTTTGAGCCTTAGTGTCAGGATCCACATCAACTTTGAACAATGAAAATTACTCTTAAAGAATTAGTTCATCATTGATTTCTGAATGGATTATGAATTTGTTTCTTAAAACACTTGAACCATCAACCATCATTTATGTTTTGAATTTTATCGCTTGCCTTAGGAAGTTTCAGAGCATTCATGTTACAATGTTGGTTGCATAAATGTTGGGGAGAAAATGTGAGTTGCTAAAATTTTGAAAAAGAAATAAGATGAGAAAGAAAAAAATATGAAAAAGAAATAAAAAGAAATAAAAACGAAAAAGTTTAAAAGAAAAAGTGGAAAATATTTTGTGCCAACAAATGTGATCAAGGTTGTATCATTTAAGAAAAAATAAGTGGTAAATGAAGTTGTGAATGGTAAAGAATTTGAGAAGTGAATGCTCTCCTAGATTTTGGCAAATTTATTTCAATTACTTTAAGATATGACCCTTCTTTGTAACCAAACCTCATTACATCCCTTGAAATTCCTTTGTGATTTATGATTTTATGCTTTCAATATGATTTTCTTGGATGAGTGCATAAGTTGATCAAGATGTTAGCAAGATTGTTGGGTGTGAGTCAAGTCCCTAATTTTGTTCTTTATCCGTTGATGAAGATGTGTGCTACGTGTGATTTATAATTGAGCATGTGTGGTCTTGGAATTTTGTACATGAGTTTTATGTTTAGAATTTGTTTCCTGGTCATGGTTCATGGTTTAGTTGTAGTATAGTGATAAGCATCACTTTGCTTGGGATTTTGAAAGTTTGAACCATGCATTTGTCTTCTTTTCACAAAAAGTGTTTGATCATGAAATGTCTTGGAAGTTTCTCTTGTTTGTTTAAGTTTGTAAGACTTTTGTTTGAGAAAAAACAAAGTTCTAAGTTGGGGAGAGTTGATAAGGGCCAAATGTGTTGATTATTTGTCTTAAATAATGGCACTTATTAACTTGATTCATTGGATTAACAAGTCAAAACCTCGACTTTTGTGCAAATATTAGCTTTATAGTTTTATCATGTAAATATTGTGTAGATTGATCATTTTTAGCTCATCTTATAGATATGTTCGCATTGGAGGAGCTTTAGGAATTAAAAGGAAAAAGAATGACTTCAATATACATTTTTAGATCAAAAGAAAGCCTACAGGTGGGGCTAAGCGCACTCAAAGCTCCATCACAAGTTAGGAATCCATGGACTTTCGCACTAAGCGCGACCTTGTAGTGTGAGGGCGCTAAGTACCATTAACCTGCACGAAGCATACTTTTCTCCTTTTGTTAGCTAGTTGCGCTAACCGTGCCCTATTAGGGCTTAGCGTGG